AATTTTGTCAATACAGTAAAGTCTCCATAAATGGTACAACTCGAACCGGTGCATTTCTGGCAGAGCGTCGCGACCCGCCACAGACGAAAACGGCCACGCGCGCCGCGGTTACTCATCGCGAAAAGATAAATCAATAATCGCGCCCTGTACCGTCGCAGCGGGGCAATTCTTCAACGCTCACCGGGTAATCGTCATCGGTTTTCCGCGGACACGTTCCGCGGTCGCAAAGACTCCATTCATCTCGAATCGTAAACAGCGAATCGATTGCGCGCGCGCCGCGTATAGTCGTATACTCGCCGTGTACTCGACGCCACGCGCTGCAGCTCCGGTCGTTCAGTTTCGAAATGGGATGTGAATGGAAGGGCCGCGGGCCGTAAGTGTTCCCGTCGCGTGAAAGAACCGAGCCAGATAGTAGTGTCAACCCCATGAATAATCTGAAACCGACTGGCGCCTACGTGTTTACTGTCGTCAATAGGTCGCGCTTCCTGTCTGCTCGAAAGTTTGGTGGACTCTATGGTCGTCTACACCGCTTCCTGATCTCCGTATAATTTCCGATTCTTCTTCGATACCTCGAAGGAACCCACAGGTATTTCTGATCCCGATCTTTTTTTCTCTCAACGAAAATATTTTAGCGATTTAAGGTCGATTCAGACTATACGACACGGATCGGCACCGACACGACAAAACATTCAAACACGCGTTTTAATGGGACTATTCACACTATTCCTGTTCACGGAACGTTCAGGTCGGTATCTGTTAAGTGTGAATAATTCCATTAAGTGGTTCGTCGCAGTCAGGAAAATGGAAACGGACAGTTTCTTGCGTGTGTGTTTCTTTAAGATAATAAATAATAATTTTGATTAATGAAATGTAAATATATTACAAAGTATGTCTTAAAGAATTATAAAAGAATGTTTGTTTTAAGAAAAGGTTAATTCATTTCGTCATAACAGGCGATGGCGTGGCTGGCCACTTGGTTCGCGGTGAGCACGATTTCTTCAAACTGGTGCACTTGAAAACAAAACTAAAGGTAGATTTAGAAAATATATTAGACTAACGGGTCCCTGATCGAAGGATTTTTTATTTTCTTGTATACTGTCTTTTTTATCCTGTATTGAATCGCTTAACTTTAGTGAAAAATTGAAAATCAACTTCAAATGTACGCCATCTTGTTTTAAATTAATTGTTTCCAAAATACTTGGTTCAGGGACCCGCTAGACTAATATATTTTCGAAACCTACCTTTCTTTTTGTTTTCAGGTAAACCAGTGTAGAGAAATATTGCTCACCGCAATCCTATGTTTTTAAATCATCGTCTACGTCGTCGGCTGTTATGACGATATAAATTGAACGTTTCTTAAAACAAAAAATGTTTTTTAGTTCTTTAAAACATGCTTTATGATATACTTAATTGTTACTTATGCAAATTATTATTTAATAACTAAAAAAAAATCACAAAGAAATGTCGTTTTTCCTCTCCCTAACTGCGCCTAACCCCTTAAAACGCGTGTTTGAATGTTTTGTCGTGTCGGTGCCGGTACGTGTCGTTGCCGGAACGTGACGGTCCGTGTCGTATAGTCTGAATCGACCTTTAACGAACCGCTCGATCGCACCGTGGAATTGTAACAGCGATAATAGTCGGTTGATAAGTAGCCGTTCCGTTCGCAAGAACACGCGATTCGATTCATTCATGCCGGCACCGGTTGCTTTCTTCCCGTTTCAGCGGTCGCGATTACTGAGAAATCGATACGTTTCGTAAATTTGAAATTTTTGTGGGAAAGCCTATTCAAACTGGTGAATGTTTATTTATTATAATATCATAAATTACTCTGTGGATCTTTATGCATTTATAAGAAATTTGAATGTGCAAGAATCCAACGCAATGCAAATAAGATGCAAGAATATAAAAAAGATTGAAAGTAAAGTTCATGTTATAATATTAGGGGGACCAGAAAGTAATGTCGTTTCTGCAGATGTCAATACTTGTTTATCATTTATCAGGTCATTGTGTACCAATTGATTTTTATCGATCTGAGTTTGAAAATTTAGCAAATTATTTATTACATAAATATTATAATTGTATTATAATTATTATATATATATTATATTATACCAGTTTGTCTGGAATGTTCGTGGCGATTTTTGGTAGGTGGTACACGTCTGTTTATATTGGAATGGTTGAAAACGATTAACATGGGTGCACCCCATAAAAGGTGGAAAGGTCGTGGAACAAAATGGTATTTATATAATTCAATAAATATATAAGAAAATTCAAACGTGCCTTTGAATTTTTCTTAAAAATTGCCACGAACTTTCTGGACAACACAATATAAATTTATATTAATTTAGCAACTAGATAGCAAAAGGTTGTTGGTCAAGAGTGCGAACACAATTGATTGAAAATAAAAGCTTGTTATGAATTTACTTGTTGGAATTTAATGTAAAAGAAACGACATTACTTTCTGGTCCCCCTAATATTTGCAGAATAAAATGAATTCCTATTTAGATTCAGTTTTTGTAGGAACGTTCGCGAAGATTTTATTTTGCATAAAAATCCGCGGTCTAATCATAAATTAACTCTATGTATGCATTTATTTAATGTTCCCTGAAGGGTTACATAGCCCCCCCCCCTCCCGTCCTTCTCTTTACCTCTTATACAATCGTAATCGTAGATTACTATTCTATTAGGCGGACTGGAAAGTAGTGTCGTTTTCTTTGACATTAAATTCAAAAAAATGTTTTATAAATTTCTATTTTTAATTATTAATTGTATAATCGCCTCCGTCATCAATAGCCTTCTGCCATCTAGTGTGCAAATTGTCAATGCCAGATCGATAAAAATCAATGAGCTGACACTTTCAGAAATCCCATACATTATTCTATATCCCGTACATCGTCGGGAATCCCGAACAATTTCGGGAATCCCGCGCACCCATAGTTGTTATTCTTGAAAATTTCAGCAATCCGAATATACGGGATTTCGAAATTCCCGGGAATCCCGAACATTTACGGGATCTCGAAATTCCCGGAAATCCCGAATGGTCTCGGGATCCCGGATGTATTCGGGATTTTGAAATTCCCGGGATTCCATCCCGATCGGGATCCCGCACACCCCTAATGAATATACAGGGTGTCCCAAAAGTCGGAGAGGAGCCGAAAATGGGGGATAGCTGAGACGATTCTGAACAACAATTTCCTTTGCAAAAATGTCGGATGGGGCTTCGTTAAGGAGATATTAAGCGAAAACCCCGACCAATCAGAGCGCGCGTAGACCGTTGGAGCGGCCGCGGTAGCGAAGGCTACGCGCTGACGGCCGCGCTTGTACGCGAACAAGTGACTCGACGTGCATCGAAGGACATTGACGCTGCCGCCTAGCGCGTAGCCTTCGCTACCGCGGCCGCTCCAACGGTCTACGCGCGCTCTGATTGGTCGGGGTTTTCGCTTAATATCTCCTTAACGAAGCCTCCAACAACATTTTTGCAAAGGAAATTGTTGTTCAGAATCGTCTCAGTTACCCCCCATTTCCGGCTCCTCCCCGACTTTTGGGACACCCTGTATATTAAAACTCAAACGTGTTTTCGAATTTTTCTTAAAAATTGCCACGAACTTTCTGGACAACCTAATAGTAGCGAGTATAGGGCAGGGAATGAACTTTTACACCTAACATAAAACTTCTCGAAAGTCGTGAAAACGGACCTTCGACGTACGAGAGGCTGTTAACCAGAGGCGAGAAGCACGCGTTTCCGTGAACGTCGCTGGCGGTCCTTACGAAAGAAGAAGAGGGGAGCCGAAATGCACCGCACGGAAACAAGTCCAGTAAGTTTCGTAGCGTTCCCATGCAACGCTATCTCGAGACCACCTTCTCGGAAGGGTCACATGTTTCTAAAGTACCATTTTAACGGAATAAATGTCCCACGCGGCCGCGGACCCGTAGAAAGGAAATACATTCCACGAATAGAAATGGACGCGTCTCCTGAGAAAACTAGAAAGCTCAGCCTTGAACTTCGTATCACGCGGGGAAGGAGGGTCGGTGAGGAAGAGGAATGCGAACCGCGGACAAGTTTTTCCGAGAATCGGAAAAAGGGACACCGCAGCGGGGAACGATAACGCGAGAAAGCTGCAGGTTCGACGCGATAGAAGATAAGGACTGCAGCGACCGAAGGAAGTGCAGGAATGTAGGAAAGTAAATATCGGGAGACGTAAATGAAACTTTGTATTATCTCTGGAATTTGAACGAAGTCGAGCGCATGGTGGTTTAGCGCCTCCAAGGTTCTCGTTGATCGCGAACCGATCGTGTAAATACAGCTGCATGCAAAAGTTTCCGGGTAAAAATAATTTTGGAATTAAATGATGTATAATAGGTGTGAAGTAGAAATACAAATATATCAAAGTAAAGAGCTTTTATTATACTATCGAAATGTACAACTCAAAAATTTGATACAACAAGTAATTAAATTATTTATAACAAAAATAACAATTTTTACTACTTCACAAGTATCCGGCCAAGTACAAAACACGAAGAAGAAACACGATAACCGAAGGAAAAATGTTGAAAAATTGTTACAAATGTAACGTTATCATCAATATTTAGTAACCATACCTTGTGAAGTTATCACGGCGGCACATCGGTGAGGCATCGATTCAATAAGTTTGATGACTCTATCTTGAGAGATATTTGCCCACTCTTCTTGAATTTTTGTCCATAAAGCAACTTTATTGGTACAATTAACAGTTCCTATTCTTAGTTTAAGGCGTCTGGTCACCCTGAGTACTATTCTTAAACAAAATTTAATCAAAAAATTCATCAAGTATTCGCAAAAATCCATTGCTATTCTTCGGATAATGTATCTAAAAGTAGCGTGTACAAATTTCAAAGCAAATGACTCGTACGTCACGTGAAAGTGGGCCCTTGGTTCGCGATCGCTCCAAATGACGTAACGTTCGTTCCATCGTTCCCGTTCCTTTTTCTACCGGGACTTATCGTAAAAGGAAGTTGATAAAAGAATTTAATCGAAAGAGCCGAAGCGAAGTCCCGGGTTGCCAGCCTTCCTCCTCGAAGATGACGTTCCATTGGGTATTTACGGTCGCGATGACAACTTCGAGAAGCGTACCGTCGCCGACGAAAAAAAGAAAAGTTGCCGTTGCGCTATCGTTACATAAATTACGCTTCATTCAAGAACGGTTTCGTACGATAAATAACTTCCGGTAGGAAAACGTCCACGACAGAAGACACCGTTGGACGATAAATATTCTAAATCTCGCGGCGATAACATCGCGTAGTTTATTACGCTTCTCTTGGCCCCCATCTAAATATTACAAATCCGTTGCGCCATGCCTTCTCTTGGATCTTTAGTGAAGTAAACGGTCTAAATATTTGAAACGATTTCCTTTGGGAATTAATTTGGAGAGAATTACTGCGAGACGTAACATTTTTACGTACAGAATGTTTATATTAGGTTGTGCCGAAAGTTTCTTTCGTGACTTGCACTCAGTTTTTTTCTGTAGCAGTTTTTATATAAATAAAGAACCTAATCTCTTAGATGTTAATGTTGTAACAGTAATGGAGCAAAATGAATCGTACGCAATC